GATGTTATTGCCTCTAAACATCAAGATTCTATGACTGATTATATGGGCAAAATTCATGCTCTTTTTCATGAGTTAAATGAGTTATTGCCTCCTTCCCCTGACCCTGCCACCGAGATAGGACAACGATCAAAGTTCTTCATGTTAGGGGCATTACACAGACTTGCTGATCAATATTCACATATTCGTGATCAGATTTTGGGTTCTTCGGTTGTCCCCACCTTGACATCGACCTGCTCCACTCTTTTGCGTATACCAGCAAAACCCAACCCTGACACACCTGTTTCTGCATTGGTATCTCACCGTGATGACCGAACTCGCCTTCGCAAACAGGGAAAAAGGCGTCCTAAGTGTGAACATTGTGGCAAGCTAGGTCACAAGACTGACCAGTGTTATGCATTACATGAGTGTGAACATTGTGGCAAACTAGGTCACAAGATTGACAAGTGTTATGCATTACATGGTCATCCTCCTCGATCTGCTGCAGTTGCTCAGACTGATCTTTCTCCACCTTTATTTTCTAAGGATCCTCCTTCTATTTCATCAGACACACCTGCTATGTTCAACAAATTTCTCAAATGGTATAAGGATCAATAGTCTTCTAGTTCCACTGTGTCTGTCGCACACACAGGTACATCTTTTGCTGGTCTGACCCAATCTTCTTCTGGTCTTTGGGTTTTTGATTCAGGAGCCACTGATCATATTACTGGTAACAAATCTTTGTTCTCCTCTTTATCCTCTCCTGATCCTTTACCTTTTGTTACACTGGCTGATGGCTCTAGAGTATCATCTCATGGTGTTGGAACTGTTAAACTTTTCCCTTCTTTAACCATTGATAATGTTCTTTATGTCCCTGGGTCTCCTTTTAACCTGTTATCCATCAGTTGTCTAACTTGTTCTCTTGATTGTGTTGTTTCTTTTACCAACAATTTTGTGTGTTTACAAGACCAGAGTTCGAAACAGGTGATTGGCATAGGATGTGAGTCTCATGGTCTTTATCATCTTCGTCCCTTTACACATGTTGGTGCAGTTATAGAGTCTCCCTCTCTTCTCCATGCTCAGTTAGGTCATCCAAGTCTTGCCAAGTTACAACAACTTGTCCCTGCCTTATCTAAATTGTCTAGTTTGGCATGTGAGTCGTGTCAATTAGGCAAACATAGTCGTACTTCCTTTCCTCGTAGTGTCACACGTGGTGCTTCGTCCCCTTTTGCCATGGTTCACTCTGACATTTGGGGACCTAGCCGCGTTAAGTCTACTTTAGGTTTTCAATACTTTGTTACTTTCATTGATGATTATTCCAGATGCACTTGGTTATTTTTGATGAAAAATCGTTCTGAATTATTTCATATCTTTCAAACTTTTTTCAATGAAATTCAAATTCAGTTCGGTGTTTCTATTAGAGTTTTGCGCAGTGATAATGGTCGTGAATATCTTTCTCATTCTTTTAAATAATTCATGGCTTCTCATGGTATTTTACATCAAACTTCTTGTGCTTATACACCTCAACAAAATGGTGTAGCTAAACGTAAAAATAAACATCTTATTGAAACAACTCGCACTCTTTTAATTCATGGAGAGGTTCCTCAACATTTTTGGGGTGATGCTCTTCTTACTGCATGTTATCTTGTTAATCGCATGCCATCTTCGGTTTTAGATAATAAAATACCTTATTCCATTTTATTCCCTCATGAACCACTTCATCCTTTACCTCTAAAAGTTTTCGGGTCTACATGTTTTGTTCATAATTTCAGTTCTGGTCTTGACAAGCTTTCTCTTAGATCACATAAATGTGTTTTCTTAAGGTTTACAAGATCACAAAAAGGATACAAATGTTTTTCTCCTTCTCTTAACTGTTATTTTGTGTCTGCAAATGTCACCTTTGATGAGTTCTCTTTTTATTTTAAAAGTCAATCTTCACCTCTTTCTCCATTCAATCTTGTCAACACTCCTAGTACATTTAATGTTCCTGTTGTTTGTGACCCTCTAACTGTGTCTTCTTCACCATTAGTTTCTACTCCGCAGTCAGCTTCTTCTTCACTGCCTCTTCAGGTTTATAGTTGCCGAAACCAATCACAACCACCACCATGTGACTCTACTCAAGTGCCAACTACTTTGTCTCCTCCGGATGTGACACCTGAGTCTGACCTTCCCATTGCCCTCCGAAAAGGTATCCGTTCTACACGTAATCCCTCTCCCCATTATATTGGTTTGAGTTATCATCGACTATCATTATCTTTTTATACATGTCTTTCCTCTCTTTCTTCTGTGACCATTCCAAAAAACTGTCCGTGAAGCTTTAGCCCATCCTGGTTGGCGTCAGGCCATGTTAGATGAACTAAGTGCTCTTCATAATAGTGGAACTTGGGAATTGGTCTCGTTACCGTCTGGGAAATCTATTGTTGGTTGCAGGTGGGTGTTTGCTATCAAAGTTGGACCTGATGGTACTATTGATCGCCTCAAAGCTCGTCTTGTGGCCAAAGGTTATACTCAAATTTTTGGGTTGGATTATGGAGATATCTTTTCTCCTGTGGCAAAGATGACTTCTGTTCGTTTATTTATCGCCATGACCGCTCTTCAATAATGGCCTCTTTATCAACTAGATATTAAAAATGCTTTCCTCAATGGTGATTTGCAAGAAGAAATCTATATGGAGCAACCTCCTGGGTTTGTTGCTCTGGGGGAGTCTTCTAGGATGGTATGTCGTCTTCGCAACTCCCTATATGGCCTAAAATAGTCTCCTAGGGCCTGGTTTGGAATGTTTAGCAAGGTTGTTCAACAATTTGGTATGACTCAGTGTGAAGCAGATCACTCTATCTTTTATCGACACTCAAGTGCTGGATGTGTTTACTTGATAGTATATGTTGATGGCATCGTTCTTACAAGTAGTGACAACCATGACATCTCTCAGTTGAAACAACATCTTTATCACCATTTTCAGACAAAGATCTTGGCAAACTTAGATATTTCTTGGGTATTGAGGTGGCATAGTCCAATGATGGTATTGTTATATCTCAGAGGAAGTATGCCACAGATATTTTGGAGGAAACTGGGTTGATGAATTCAAAGTCTGTTGATATGCCCATGGATCCCAATACTAAACTTCTACCAAATCAGGGGGAGCTTATACCTGATCCTGAGTAGTATAGAAGATTGGTTGAAAAATTGAATTATCTTACAGTTACTCGTCCTGACATGTCCTTTGTAGTCAGTGTGGTAAGCCAATTTCTTAATTCCCCATGTGAAGATCATTGGAATGCAGTCATTCGTATCTTAAAGTATATTAAAGGATCTCCTGGAAAAGGATTGTTATATGATTCTAATAACCATACAAGAGTTGTTTGCTACTCAGATGCTGCTTGGGCAGGATCTCCTTCGGATAGAAGATCTACATCTGGATATTGTGTCTCTATTGGTGGTAACTTGGTCTCATGGAAAAGTAAGAAACAAAGTGTTGTGGCAAGATCTAGTGCATAAGCAGAATATAGAGCTATGACCTCAGCTGCTTGTGAACTTGTTTGGCTCAAACAATTACTTAGAGAGCTACAATTTGGAGATGTCACTCAAATGTCACTTGTGTGTGACAATCAGACTGCTCTTCATATTAGTTCTAATCCTGTCTTTCATGAGAGGACCAAACACATTGAGATTGACTGTCATTTCATTCGAGAAAAGATTATGTATGGAGACACCAAGACTGAGTTTGTTAACTCAAGTGATCAGTTAGCAGATATTTTTACTAAATCTTTACGGGGTCCTAGAATTGATTATATTTGTAACAAGCTTGACACATACGATTTGTATGCTCCAGCTTGAGGGGGAGTTAGATATTGTTTAGATATTATTTGATATTGTTAAGATATTGTTAACCACAATATCAAACAATATCTTCTGTTTATTCTGTTACTTTCAGCTTACTCTTTTAGTTGTATCTCTCTACTATAAATAGACTACCCTATGTGTGATTTATACACAAGGGAGATTAATCCCAAACTCTATTTCTTCTATATTCAACAAATCTAAAAACACAATACACTAAAAAAGTATTATACAAAATTATTTCATCCAAATTTTTAATAATATGATAAGTCATCAAATTCATTTTTTTTTCTTTCATGTCTTTCCTTTTCATATGAGTGCTTGAATTTATAAAAGAATTTATCTACAAAATTCACTTCTTTAATTTCTATCTTCACATTTCTTAATTATTTTTTTAATAGTTATAAAGGTAAAGATTGATACACACTTAAATATATTATAAATAAAGAATATTTATTCATTTTAGTTTTTTTTTCTCAATCTATAATTTTATTATTTTTATTTTAAAATATATTTTATATTTTTTAAAATTAATAATTTTAATCTAGTTATTTAAATCTTTGATGTGATAATTCTAATTAATTGATATTATCAAATGATTTTATTTTATTTGTTATAGTAAAAATCATCAAAGTAAATATTAAAATAATATCAATTACTTTAAATTATAAGAAAATAAATAATAAAAATAGAAAATAAAGTATTCTATAAAAGAATAATAATTATTGTAAAGATAAAATAGAATATGAGAAGAGATGAGATGTTAATTTTATTATATTTTTATATAAATAATTTAATACAATATTGTCAACACCCAATCTCATCGGGTAGATAAAAATAAAATAATAATAATAATAATAAATAATAATTTGAAAAGAAAGGAGAAAAAATATTAAAATATAAAATGTTTTCTTTTAAACTCTTTAAAATAAAAAAAAGGAAAAAAAAAGAAAAAAAATATAATATAATTTTTAAGAAAAAAAATAAAAAAAGGAAAAAGTTAAATAATAACATTTTAGGAGTTTTTGTAAGAAAAATTGTAAAAAAATTAATATTTAACTTTTACGTGTATTTTTCATCTTTTGGCCCATGTAAGTTTTGTTACGTTAGTTTTAATCTGGAAATACACTCTATAAAGGAGAGCCTTGATTCCGAAAAGGACACTCATCTTCTTCCGCCATCACTCACTAGCCTCCACGCTCACGGTTCTCCTTCACGACCCTCTCTCTGCACCTTCCCTCATACACCTCGGGAGCCCCCGCCCCCAACTCTCCAGCCCTCGCAACCTTAAAAATTCCCCACCAGACACTTCCCCTAATTCCCCTTCCCAACCACAAATCTTCACTCTTCTCCTCTCACCTGGGTACGAATCTGCCAGTCCCCATCTCCCTCCTTCTCCAATCCTTCCCATCCGCCACCATTGCACTTCCAGCCCTCGCACCAGCATGCGTCAACCCCTCGCCTGTCGGATTCCCACCGTCGGCACCTCATCCTGTCACCGACTCCTCCTTCACGCTTCTCAAGCCTCCCCCACACTCTCTCAACTCCCTCACTCACTCACCCTCAACCCCAATCAAAACCTCCTTCATTAGCCACCGCCAACCCCTAACCGCACGCGTAGCCACCTCCATCGAACCATCGCGCAGCGCAGCCCTCGCCTACCTTCTCTTCACCGCGCCAGCCACCACGGTCCCGGTCGTGCCACCCTCATCACAGCCCACACCCAGCAACAGCCCAGTATTTGTAGCTATCGTGGCCGCCTCCATCAAGCTAACCACGGAGCGACCCAAACCCGCCGCCACCAAGGCCACGCAAACCGCCACTGCCGAGCACCTTTGACTTTCGAGGATCACCTCGCACCACCAGCTGCCAGCCGCACCTCAACCTGATTTTCCAAGAGCCCTCTCCGTGATTTTGTCCAAGCTGAGTGGGTTTGATTATTTTCTTGTCTTGTATGTGTGCTTAGGTTGAAAGCACTACACTATTAAAAATAAAAAAAGGGTATGATTACAACTGGGACCTACATTATAAGATATAAAAATTAGTTACAAAAATATAAATTAAAATACAAATTAAAATAATAATATTTCAATATATGGAGCTAAATATATATGTCTTTTTGAGTCATTCATCCATGTTTGCATATATTGTAAGATTCCAACCTTTATATTTCCAGCATTTTTAAATGGATTAAGGCTCAATAAATCAGTAAACTTCGAATTTTTCTTGTTCCACACTCAATTTGTCAATGTACCTAAAACAATTAATTATAAGTTGAATATAATTATTATAATCTTAGAAACATAAATAAGAATGACTTACATTGCCCACAATTGTATGATGGAAATGTTTAATGTGCAATTTTTTCCAGCAATTTCTAAAGCATCGGGCAAGGAAATGTATAATGGAACACTGGAATTGTCAATTCCAAACACTCTAACATCTCATATTATCTGACACGTTCTCTTCCTCAACCGTGGTAATATGGTCAACAACATAGAGATGAGATCATCATCACATTTTATCAAATCCTCATCAATAATAGGTTGTTTTTTATGCTTAGCACGACACAAGTCCTCCTAAACAAATGATTACAATTAATTAAACATTTATATTTAATATAATACTAGAAAAGAGAAAATAGACAATATATATATATATATATATATATATATATATATATATTACCTTGGTCTCGTGGCTGATAGTGGCATAACCAAACGTCTTGGCCAAGCCAAGAATGTCCCGCTTGCCTGCCCCACTAATTGAATCTCTTCATTAGGAAAAGACACTGGAGCATTAGCATCATGAACTTCATCAACTACTACTCGTGTCCAGTCTGCCTGTAGAGGGACACCATGGATGGTTAAACCACCCTCAAAAACTCGACCAATAGCCACTAGACGCGGGGGGTCATCCTCAACATATAACTCACATTGGTGTGATGCATCAGTCTGAGTATATTCTCCTGAAGGATCAGCAGTATTATCAGCACAACTCCCTTTAGTGCTGACTCGAACAACATCATGTTCAATTGTTTGAGGTGTTCCTTGAGTCTGTTGCTGAGAGCGGGCGAGAGATTCAACTTTTTCATCAAACTCTTGCTGCAAGGACTGCCTTATTTGATTTAACTTTTCTTCAAACTGCATCTCCATTTTATGCAAGGCCTCCTGGCTGCAAGAGTCAGTAGTGGTCCTTCGTGATATTGGACCAAAGTAATCACGAAGGCCCCAAGATCCACCAGCACCACGCACACGTCCTGAGTAATCTGGTTTTCCTATGGTTGTCGTCAATATATCTTGTCGACCATGAGGAATAAATGATCCTTGGGTGCTCTACTCAACTAAATCATTCTACAAGACATTAACAATAATTAAGTCATACACTAACTTTCACATTAGAATCAATTCAAATTGACATTATAACTTACGATTTTTCGAGCAATGATTCGTGTAGACTCAGAAGTCATTTGTCCATCAGATTTTGTCCGGGCTGCCACTAGTGCAAAAAGGGGCTTTTACGTCAGGTATTTAGGGCTTTTTACGTCGTATTTAAGTCCGATGTTAAAACGGGAGACGTAAATTTACGTCAGATCCTTTAGCCCGACGTAGATTTACGTCAATTATCAAGACCTGACGTAATTTTGCGTGGCATATACCACTAAACAGACGTAAAAACTTTCGAAAATTAAAAAAAAAAATAGCAAATTTACGTCGCATATGGTATATGCGACGTAAATTTACGTCGCGTATTGGTATATGCGACGTAAATTTATGTCACATATACCATATGCGACGTAAATTTACGTTGCATATGCCATATGCGACGTAAATTTGCTGTTTTGTTTTTAAAATTGGGTTTATTTATTCTGTTTTACAACTAAAACCTGTAAATATTACAACCAGACAGTCCAGAGGTTCAGTTTTCTTTAGCTAGTAAATTAAAAATATAATATTATATAATTCAAACTACATAATAAATCAATATAATACAAACATACAAACTAAAAAATCTATTACCAACTAAAAGTTAATACAAACTAAGCTACCTAAACTACATAATACACACAATATAATATGAACAAGAACTTAAAAAATTATGTACTAGAATTGTTGAACAAAAAATTTTGCCCATTGTTCTCTAATTTGTGTAATATCAGATTCTGGTAATTGAGATGGATCTTGAAATACCTGAAACATGAATTTGACTCTTGTAAACATGCAACATGAATAAAGTTAAATAAACTTAACTAATGTTAAAAGTAATTACCTCCGTCCAAGAATCAATTAAACCAGCACAAACTATGGCTCTCATCCAATACATTACATAGTAACCACATTCAAACGAGTCTGTTTGCTTATTACACTGAAATGATGAAAAAAACATAATATTATTTTCAAAATTTAAATACAAACAATAATTATGGTATTCACTTATATAAATAAGTTTCTAACCTTAGGATAAATGAACTGCAAAGTCTTTGTTCTAGGTTTTCCACTTAGAACATTAGTTCCAGCATACGATTCTAAGTGAAAAAAGTCATATATTATTCAATATGTATTCACAATTTAAAAACATAATTAATGAATAAAAGATAAAGTTACCCTTGTAATAAGCTTTTCATTTCTTGACTCAGTTTCGATGTAATGAACAAAACCACACCACAGTGTAATCCCGGGCATGATTACAATTAACTGCCAATGGGACCTACATTGTATGACATAAAAATTAGTTACAAAAATATAAATTAAAATACAAATTAAAATACTAACCCTTCAATGTATGGAGCCAAATATATATGTCTTTTTGAGTCACTCATCCATGTTTGCATATATTGTTGGATTTCAACCTTTGTATTTCCGCATTTTTGGATGGATTGAGGCTCAATAAATCCGTATACTTCGAATTTTTCTTGTTCCACACTCAACTTGTCAATGTACCTAAAACAATTAATTATAAGTTGAATATAATTATTATAATCTTAGAAACATAAATGAGAATGACTTACATTGCCCACAATTGTATGATGGAAATGTTTAACATGCAATTTCCCCAAGCAATTTCTAAAGCATCGGGCAAGGAAATGTATAATGGAACACTAGAATTGTCAATTCCTAACACTCTAACATCCCATATTATCCGACACGGTCTCTTCCTCAACCGTGGTAATATGGTCAACAACATAGAGATGGGATCATCATCACATTCTCGTCAAATCCTCATCAATAATAGGTTGTTTTTTATGCTTAGCACGACGCAAGTCCTCCTAAACAAATGATAACAATTAATTAAACATTTATATAATTATAATACTAGAAAAAAGAAAATAGACAATATATATATATATATATATATATATATATATATATATATATATATATATATATATATATATATATATATATACCTTGGTCTGTGCCGATAGTGGCATACACTGCTACAGATATGCATTTCAACGTCGGTTAAATAAGGCTTTCAACATCGGTTATACAACCGACGTTGTAAGAGGCAACGTTGAAAGTATAAACTTTCAACGTCGGTTATTTATACCCGACGTTGATAGTTTAGGCTTTCAACGTCGGTTATTCATACCCGACGTTGAAAGTGAACACTCGTCGCTCAAGCGAGTACAGTCGTCGCTCAAGCGAAATAGAACCGAGAGTCCCCTTGTTTGAAGCACTCGTCGCTCAAGCGAGTACACTCGTCGCTCAAGCGAAATAGAACCGAGGATACCCTTTTTTTGAATCTTTCGTCGCTTAAGCGAGTACACTCGTCGCTCAAGCGAGATGGAACCCGAGAGTCCCCTTTGTTTGAAGCTTTTGTCGCTTAAGCGAGTACACTCTTCGCTCAAGCGAGTTGGAACCCGAGAGTCCCCTTTGTTTGAAGCTTTCGTCGCTCAAGCGAGAACACTCGTCGCTCAAGCGAGTATGGGTTTACTACGTCGGTTATGGTATGAACCGACGTAGAAAGTCTATTTTTTTTTTAAATGGACGATTTGTTTATACTAGGGTACCCAATGTTTGTATATATACATACCTGCAAATTTTTTATACAACCCAGGCAGACAATGTACAAGATATAAACAATTGAATGTGCATCCAAAAATAAAATTGTATCCAAAATTATTGTGTATCCAACTACTTATCTACCGAATACACTTACTACTAATCTAACTAATGAACTATCTAGTAAACTAACTAGTAAAGTAACTAAACTAACTACTAAACTAACTACTAAACTAAGTACTAAATTAATAACTAAACTTGCCTACTTCTAAATTTAACAAACTTATCGGCCCATGTGTTTCTAATATCGTCAATTGTCTCTATGGGCAATGCTTCCCTGTCTGAAAATACCTGTTACAAGAAAAAAGATAATTTAACAGAGTATCCAATGACACAATACTCGGGTCTTTTATTGAATACTAAATTTAAGCAAACCCGATTCCATGTATCCTCAATCTTGCTAACAACAATCAGCCACATCCAAGGCATAACATAATATCCGCACTCATAAGATCCTGGTTGCCTATTACACTACAAAAAATAATATATTAATTTGACATATAAAATGAATGATATAATACATAAATATAAAATGACTTACATTAACAAAAATCCAATCTGGAGTCGTGCTTTTGCTTGTGTGTACTCCATCAATTGTATTGCAAACCTTAAATGCACTCGTGCAATACAAGATATAATGAAACAATTAAGTAACAAAACAATTAATAATTGTTTAAATTATTATAAGAATGTGTACCTGT